CCCCCAAAAAAAAAAAAAAAAAAATGCAAGAGGAAAGCTCACTTAACATAAGTGTTTAGATGAGTTATGCACTTGAAATATGGATTATGAAGGCATTGAATGCGTTTTAGATGTGAGCTACATATGGCTTGAGACTATGAAGTCTCCCACAGCAAACGCATTAGAGGATATTTTCATACTCTTTTTTTTTTTTTTTTTTTGAGTTGGAGTCTCACTCAGTCACCCAGACTGGAGTGCAGTGGCCACTCCTGGCCACCGCACCCTCGACCTGCTGGGCTCGGGTGATCCTTCCGCTCAGCCTTCCGAGTAGCTGGAACTACAGGTGCGCGCTACCACGCCTGGCTAATTTTTGATTTATTGTAGAGATGAGGTCTCACCAAGTTGTCCAGGCGGGTCACGAACCCGTGGGCTTAGGCAATCTACTCACCTCAGTCTCCCAAAGGCGCGGGATTACAGGCTGAGCCACCGAGCCCGGCTTTATTTTCATACTCTTTAAAAAATTTATTTATAAAGCTTTGAACAATTTTTAAAAAATTTTTAATTTTTAATTTTTATTTTTTTGAGTCTGAGCCTCACTCTGTTGCCCAGGCTGGAATGCAGTGGCACGTTCACCGCCACCCCAGCGTCAACCTGCTGGGCTCTGGTGATCCTTCCACCTCAGCCTTCCAAGTAGCCAGAACTACAGGCGTGTGCTACCACACCGGCTAATTTTTTGATGTATCGTAGAGATGAGGTCTCACCAAGTTGCCCAGGCTGGTCTTGAACCTCTGGGCTCAGGCAATCCTTTTGCCTCGAGCTCCCAAGTACTGGGATTACAGGCCTGAGCCACTGTGCCTGGCTCAATTTTTTAAATAAATAATGGAGTGACATGAAATGAGTTTAATTCTTCTTGTGTCACAAAGCAGAAGTGAGCTGGCTAGCTGGTCTGGACAGCTTTTGTGCTAATTTGTTTCAGGGCAGGTACATACACCTGGTGTTCCGGTGGGAACCCCTGCAATTTTCCAAAGGACTGTTAGATGATACGTATCAAGAGACCTGAAGATGTTATATGTGTTTAGCCTGTAATTCTTTTATTGGAATTCTTTTATGGGATAATCGGGTATCAGGGAAAAGATTTGTGAACAAGGATGTTCATCACTTCATTGCTTCTAATAGCAAAAAATCAGAACTGACCTAAGTGTATGATGATAAGGGTTCAGCTAAACAAAATATGGGCCAGTTATTTAAAATGGCATTTTAGGCCGGGCTCGGTGGCTCAGCCTGTAATCCCAGCACTTTGGGAGGCCGAGGCGAGAGGATTGCCTGAGCCCACGGGGTTCGAGACCCACCCGAGCAACTTGGCGAGACCTTGTCTCTACAATAAATTTAAAAAAAACTAGCTGGGTGTGGTTGCACACGCCTGTAGTTCCAGCTACTTGGAAGGCTGAGGCAGAAGGATCGCAGGAGCCCAGCATGTCGAGGCTGCAGTGGCCGGGAGCAGCCACTGCACTCCAGTCTGGGCAACAGAGTGAGACTCTAACTCAAATAAAATAAAATAAAATAAAATGGCATTTTAAAAGATTTAAAAAGTTTTATCCACACTGTGTGTGATATAATGTTACATGTAGAAGTGGAAAATAAAACTATCATATACAGGGTATGATAGTAAGTATAGGAAAAAAGTATATACACACAGAAAGTGAATTACAAGGAAATAAATGAGAATGTTAACAGTGGACTACTGGGAATCATATTAATTTCTGTTCTATCTTCCAGATACTTGCTCTGCAATGAGCATGTATTACTTATGTAATGAAGAAAAAAACTTTAAGTAATCACCAAAATCAGAGACCCACTCTGCTATAATATAAAGGTAGCCTTTACAGCATCCTTAGGTCTAAACTTAACCATTGACAAAGGGAGGGTCAGGATTGCCAGCCCCAGTCTCCTGAGAAGGAAAACAGGTGCCATGTGTGAAGCATTATATATTTTAGAATAGGACTATCTACAGACATCTTATTCATAGGATAGGATTTACTAAACAAATTCAGTTCTTATCTGAATTATAATTCTCTCTAGAGAAGAAAGTCAAGTATCCAGAAAATGTTTCTCTGATGCTTAAAAGAATATTCTTTCACTTTCCTGTATCTTTGTCTCACCTTTGATATTTATATACAGTAGACCCTTTTATCTGTGGTTTTATTTCCAGTTTAGTTACCTGTGGTCAATTGCAGTCTGAAGATATTTTGAGAGTGGGAGAGACCACATTCACATTGTTTTTATTACTATATATTGTTATGATTGTTCTATTTTATTATTACTTTAATCTCTTACTTAGCCTCATTTATAAAGTAAACTTTAATATAGGTAAGTATGTCTAGGAAAAAACAGTGTATGTGTTGGGTACTATCCACAGTTTGAGGCATCCACTGAGGGTCTTGAAATATATCCCCTGCAGAGAGGAGGTACTACTGTATGTAGTATTAGTCCATTACTCTTTCTCATACTATGTTTAACTCAATTTTACTTCATAAGTACAGATCTAAATTTGAGTCATTTCCTTCAAACTGAGTACCATGAAACTAATTCTTCTAATATGCATTTAACACTAATTTTGTAGTCTTTTAGTACATGCTTGCATGCCTCCTTTGGAAAGATACCAGCTTTACCAACGACCTAGTGCATGTCCCTTCTCTGTCTAGATCTGGAATGGTAAGCTTCAGCATACAATGTGACTGTTGTTCTCTTTGGAACATATGAACGCTCTTTCATGGAAATATGCGGGATTGGGGGGTGACTAAGAAATATTTAACATGTTTACCCAGACCTGTATGTTAAATATAGTTACAAGGAAATCAAGTTTGAAAAAAGTTGTATATATTTCCTAGAAGTGTTTTTTATTGTCGTTGTTATTTTGGTTTTTGTTTGTTTGTTTTTAGGTTCCTGAGATTTTAACAGAGCTCTTTTTGCTTTTACAGTTTTTTTAATCTCCCTTCTCCAGAATAAGTTTAAATTGCTCCTCTCCCACTAAATGTCTTCAACATGTGTATAATGCTCTAGATTAGAGAGGATGTTTCTTGACTTTTTAAAATTGTTGAACCTTCATTATTTTTGAAGCCTGTAAAAGGATTATATCTCAGTAACATATATTAGGATTTTACTATTTGTCAAGCAAAATGCTAATATTTTGCATGGATTGTTCTTTTCTTCAACCTCCCAACAGACTTTTGAGGTGAGAAATATTGCTATCTACATTTTATAGGGAAGTACACGAGGCTTAGACATGAGCAGATAAACTTCAATCTCAGACAGTATGACACCAGAGCTCACTCAATAATATACTGCCTCCCAGTGGTAGAAATGGCAATACCATGTGTACCTGTAGGTTAGAACTTTATGACTCACAAGTTGGTAAATTACTTGTAATGTAATTAACTCTGAATTATCTACAGCCCTTTAAGTCATTCCTGACATATAATATGTGATATCATAATTACATTTGGATTTAATACCCAGGCTATTTAGATACATCTGCATGTATGTATATGTGTATACATTTTAATTACTGAGTCAAAAACAGAATGCTTTTGCTCAACTGGTTGGACTAGTCCTTCTTTTACCCTACCTATTCCATTTGTTTGAGTAAAATATAATTATAAGTAATTTCTATGATACATGACAATCTCAGGAAGGCATTTTATAATTCAGTTAGGAAATATTTTGTCCATTATCATAAGTTTTCTATTATTAAAACTCTGGGATCTTTTAAATAAAACTTTCTCTCTTCTCTCTTGGTGTCAGGTAAAATTCCTCCAGAAAGTACACTGATATTCAACATCGATCTCCTAGAGATTCGAAATGGACCAAGATCCCATGAATCATTCCAAGAAATGGATCTTAATGATGACTGGAAACTCTCTAAAGAAGAGGTGACCTTTTTCTCCTTTATTTTTTCTTTTTTTGGTAGCTCACTTTTTAAGAAAGTTTTTAAACAAAATATTTATTTATTTATTTATAGTTGGAGTCTCACTCTGTTGCCTAGGCTGGGGTGCAGTGACACGCTCATAGCCACCGCAGCCTCGACCTGCTGGGCTTAGGTGATCCTTCCACCTTAACCTTACAAGTAGCTGAAGCTACAGGCATGTGCTACCATGCCAGGCTTATTTTTTTTATTTATTGTTGAGATGAGGTCTTACCTTGAACCCCCGGGCTCAGGCAATCCTCTCACCTCAGTCTCCCAAGGTGCTGGGATTATAGGCTGAACCACTGCGCCTGGCCTAAAATTTATTTTTATTTAGGTAAAATGTTATTTATTTATGTTTCCTTTTTTTTTTTTTTTTTTAAGTTGGAGTCTCACTCTGTCGCCCAGACTGGAGTGCAGTGGCCGCTGCCGGCCACCGCAGCCTCCATCTGCCGGGCTCCGGTGATCCTTCCGCCTCAGCCTTCTGAGTAGCCGGAATTACAGGCATGTGCTACCATGCTCGGCTAATTTTTTGATTTATTGTAGAGGTGAGGTCTCGCTGCCCAGGCGGGTCTCGAACCCGCGGGCTCAGGCAATCCACTCACCTCAGCCTCCCAAAGGCGCGGGATTACAGGCTGAGCCACCGAGCGATACTGATGCTCTGAAAGTTAACCTTTTTATAGGAGATCATTGTTTTAGACAGAAATATATTGATACTTACACTATTCAGTCTTTTGCTTTTTTCTTCCTAAATGGTTTTATTGTATCTTGTCCTTACCCTTGGGTCTTTGAATGATCCATTTTACCAAGACAATTCCCATTTGGAGTTGCTGTATAAAAAAACTATATGTCCTGAAAAATAGCTCATGTGGACAATTTCTGTTTAAAACTGTAGACTGACTGTCAAATGCATTTGGTAGTGATTTCCTAGAGATTAACAGCAAGCAATTTACATGCTCAGTTTTGTTCAGATTAGCACCTGGAGAATGGAGACTGCAGCATGGGTTTTCTACAACAGGAAGCCTTCCCCAGCCCCCTCAAAGTCTGGGCCTTTGGGTAAGGAGAAAGGAAGAAGGGGTTTTTCCTATAACCTAGGAATTTGTAGTCATTGCTACACATGCCTGTCTTAGTCTGGCTGCTGTGGAGAAAGAAATGGAGGAAATCTTTATTCCTATGTTTTTTAAATCTCCTCACACTCCATTCTGTCTTGACTGGTCAGATATCAAGTCCCTTTTTATGCTTTGATCAATTTCATACTAATGCCCAGGAAATAATTGAGTCTTGAATAAGCTAAGTTGTTATGAACCACAGAATCATGATCCACAGCCACTCAATTTATAACATCTCACAGGGTTACCAGGCATATACCTTTTTCAACCATCAAAGATAAATTTTAATTCTCTTTCATTAAAACATTTTGAGTATACAACACATTCATATGGTTCAGAGTAAAAAGATACTTATTAAAAAGTCTTTCTCCTACCCATATCCTCTTCTTCCATTATCCTCCTATCCAGTTTTATTAGTTTCTTTTTTCTTTATTTGTTAAGAGAGATCTCACTATGTATAGATGTGCACCTACTGCATCCAGCTCAGTTGTGTTAGTCTCTAATATATCCGTCCAGTGTTTCTTTATGCAAATACAAACAAACACAAATAGACATTCTTATTTTCCCCTTTCTTATGCAAAAGGCAGCAACTTATACACACTGCTTGGCGTCTTGCTTTAGTCACACAATATATCCATACATTAATCCCTAGAGTTTCATCATCTTTTTTATTTTTAAAGAACTACATTAAATCAGTTTAAATTTAAAATAACTCTACACCTTATGGGTGTGCATGTTGGGGCATGGTAGGAGAAAAGATTTGAAATTGCTGGTGTAAACATAAGGAAGGGGGGGAATATGATTAAAAATAAAAATATAGGCTGAATTGTATCATGGTAAATCTAGTGGGAAATTGGGAACAGTGTTTAGTTTATATATTTTTTAAACATCTGAATGAAATGAAAATGGAAAATTATAGTCTAGGCGCTCATCAGACTGGACTCTGCTTTAATTTCTGAGATTGGAGGCTGGGTGTGGTGGTTTACACCTGTAATCCCAGCACTTTGGGAGGTAGAGGTGAGAGGATTGCCTGAGCCCCGGAGTTCGAGACCAGTCTGGGCAACATGGTGAGACCTTGTCTCTACAGCTAAAAGAAAAAAAAATTAGCCAGGCGTGGAGGCATATGCCTCTATAATTCCAGCTACTTACTTAGAAGGCTGAGGCGGAAGGATTGCTGGAGCCCAGCAGGTTGAGGCTGTGGCAGCTGTGAGCATGCCACCATACTCCAATCTGGGTAACAGAGGAAGACTCCAACTCAAAAAAAAAAAAAAGAGAGAGAGAGAGAGAGATAGAGAGACAGATTGGGAGGTTGTGATTAGGCTTGATCAGTGTGGCATGATCATAGCCAGCCCCACAGCTCCTGCTACTCACAGACATTTATTCAAGTGAAAAATGCCAACATTTAATCAGCTTTTAAGAGAAGTGTCTGGGATTTTGACACTTGATAGAAAAGTAGATCTGGACGATGAATCGAAAGACAGCAGTCTTGCAAATGCTTGACCTTAATTAGACTCATTAAGAAAAGGTAGTAGTATACTTTCACTGGGTATTTTCAGATAATATAAGCCTTATATGAGGATTATATATATGATATAAGCTTTATCTTTGCCTCTGAGCAATATTTTATATCTCTACTAGTAGTATAGCAATAGTTTTTTTAAGGGAAGAAAATTCCTTATAATTCTTTAATGATCTTTGAAATATAAAGTTGTTGTTCAGTAGTTATTACATGTAGTTATGTGAGCTACTAGTCCAGGTCTGTGATATTGATTGGCTCAATGTGGGTATCTTATGAATCAGAATTATTAATGAAATCCGTCATTTTGTAGGTTAAAGTATATTTAAAAAAGGAATTTGAAAAGCACGGTGCGGTGGTGAATGAAAGTCATCATGATGTTTTGGTGGAAGATATTTTTGATAAAGAAGATGAAGACAAAGATGGATTTATATCTTCCAGAGAATTTACATATAAACATGACGAGTTATAGAGCTATGTCTGCCCATTTTACATAGTATCCATCTTCTAAGAGAGGGCAGTTATCCTTTAAACGCATTTTATTTTTTAACAATGTTCTGTTCTTGCTTTGTTTTTTGTTTTTGTGTGTATTTTCTGACCTCTATTTAAAGAACCCCTTAGGGTTTCTAAGTACCCATTTCTTTCTGGTAAGTTATTAGGAAGAAAAAATTAATTTGTCTTTGAATAGAAGACTGCTAGACTATCTTCTACTTTTTTAGTTGTAATTTTAAAATATTGCATCTGGAAACATAACACAACATGAGACCTGGTTATAGCACAAATCAGCACTCAGTACTTCTGCTTTCCTCTATTTTCTCCAAGTTAGAGGTTGGCATTTGAAAAACCTTTTGCAATAGCCCAAGGCTTGTTATTTTCATGTTATAATGAAATAGTTTGTTTTTCACTACTCCTGAGTCTCTGCTTGAGGACTGAAAGAAAATGGTTGTTGGACTTGTTAACAGCTACTGCTTTACTAAGGAGATGTGCAATGCTGAAGTTAGAAACCAAGTTAATAACTTATAAAAACACATATGCATTGAAACATTCTACCTAAGGCTTAAGCTAATAAAATTCAGCTCCTAGTGACTAATGGCCTATTATGATAAAGAGGACAAATCATTTATGTGTTTGTTTCTTTGTAATAAAATGTGTCAAAATATTATAGATGAGTTAGAGAGCTGTATTTATATTTAGTGTTTACTTCCTAAGGCTAGCCATTAGCCTTCCTGGTTCTTTAATGGATAAAGTCTATAATATATTATACTATGATTACATTGTATCATAAGAGAAATTAGTAAGCCAATCAACATTTTCCCATTTCTCCCTCAACAAAAAATGCAGTAGATTTACAATGATTACTACTGAATAGATGCCTATCTTATATCAAAAATCTGATGATTTTATCTTTAATTAGCTTTTTTCCTTAATACTTTTAACAAAGTCACCAAATCCTCATTTTCTAAGAATAGTCCTTTGTACTTTACAAATGATAGCAAAATGCATTACTGTTGATTCTCATGGCTCTGAAATCTATGAAAAAAGCTGATAAATCTTACTGTATCTACTTTATAGATGAAGAAATTGTCATTCAAAGAGATTGACTGTTATGCCCAAGGTCAACAGCTAACCTGTAGAACCAGTTTTCAGTCCCCAAACTCAGTGTCTACCTACTGCTCTCTACTAATGAAAAAGTGAAAATTTTCTTTGAATTCGCTGGGCCTAGTTCTCTGTGCAGTTTGCTCTTCAGTTGTGTGTCTTTGGGTTCTTATCCTCTGAAGTTGACTTACCGGCTCTTTCTTGTGTTAGAATTCTCCCTATGATACCAGAATAGCTCTGGTTTCATGGGGTAATGTTGGTGTTAGCTCTAAACTGCCTCAAAAACTCTGAGCAGTGAGAGGTTCCAGGTGTGTGTTTTAATTCTTTCATTCCTATTTATTTCCATGGTTTGGCTTTTTAAAAATAATTAATGAATGATTATTACATTATATGTAATCTACTTTAGCTGATTATATATTGACATCTTCCTCACTAAAACATAAAGGTCTTGGGAAGAATATACTATAATACCTTTCCCCAAAGAAATCAGCTATATTTTGAAAACTATTACATCACCACTGATGATTTCCTGAATCTAGAGTTATAAGCCAAAACACACAAAGCCTTATACTGTATTATAGGAGAAAGAAAAGTAGTTTTTCCTATAGTGCTACTTTTTTTGTTTGTTGTGTTTTTTTTTTAGAGTCGGAGTTTCACTCTGTCGCCCAGGCTGGAGTGCAGTGGCACACTCACGGTCACCCCAGCATTGACCTGCTGGGCTCCAATGATCCTTCCGCCTCAGCCTTCTAAGTAGCTGGAACTACAGATTCATGCTACCATGCCTGGCTAATTTTTTGATTTATTGTAGAGATGAGATCTCGCCAAGTTGCCCAGGCTGCTCTCGAACCTATGGGCTCAGGCAGTCCCCTCACCTCGGGCTCCCAAAGTGCTGAGATTACAGGCTTGAGCCACCACGCCTGGCCTTATAGTGCTACTTTGTATAAACATTACTGATGCTATCTACACAGCAAAGAAAGAGAAGTCAAAAGAATTTTGATTATTCAGGCAACATTTAAAAACAAATTTCTATCAATTCTCATCTAAACATTGGACACAAGTGTGAAATGAAAACATACACATACATTGTGATTGTTTTAAGCTATCTACTTTTTTGGTTTTGCGGTACCTTTTTTGCATATGTACATTAGTGGAAATAATTAGGCATACACTGTGATGTCACATGTACATCCATGCCTTACTTAATGATAGAGATATGCTTTGAGAAATCCATCACTAGGCAATTTGTCATTGTGTGAACATCATAAAGTATACTGACACAAACCTAGATGGTATAGCCTACTAACCGTGCTATATGTTATAGGATACAAACCTATCAGCATGTTACTGCACTGAATGCTATAGGCAATTGTAACATAATGACAAATATTTTGTATCCAAACCTATTTAAACATAGAAAAGGTATAGTAAAAATATGGCATGAAAGATTAAAAATGGTACACCTGTCTAGGGCACGTACTGTGAATGGTGCTCATTGAAGTTGCTCTGAGTGAGCCAGTGAGTGAGTAATGAGTGAATGTGAAGGCCTAGGACATTACTGCACACTACTGTGGACTTAATAAACACTGTACCCTTGGGCTACATTTATAAAAACTATTTTTCTTCAATAGTAAGTTAACTTTAGCTTATTGTAACTTTTTTACTCTACAAACTTTTTGAATTTTTAAAAACTTTTTGACCCTTTTGTAATAAATACTTAGCTTAAAACACACATTGTACAGCTGTATGAAAACATATTCTTTCTTTTTTTTTTTTTTTTGAGTTGGAGTCTCACTCTGTTGCCCAGGCTGGAGTGTGGTGGCACACGCTCATGGCCACTGCAGCCTCGACCTGCTGGGCTCAGGCAATCCTTCTGCCTCAGCCTTCCCAGCAGCTGGAACTACAGGCGCACACTACCACGCCCAGCTTAATTTTTAACTTATTGTAGAGAGGAAGTCTCACCAAGTTGCCAAGGCTGGTCTCAAACCCCTGAGCTCAGGCAATTATCTCCCCTCGGGCTCCCAAAGTGCTGGGATTATAGGCTTGAGCTACCACGCCTGGCCTGAAAGATTTTCTTTATATTCTTACTATCTAAGTTTTTTTCTATTATATATTTTTTTATTTTAAACTTTTTTGTTAAAAACTAAGACACAAATCCGCACATTAGACCTACACAGGGTCAAGATCATTAAGCTATCACTAGGCAACAGGAATTTTTCACCTCCATTGTAATCTTATGGGACCACCATCATACATGCAGTCCTTTGACCAAAATGTCATTCAGTGCATGACTGTATATAATATGATCATAATACTGCTTGATGTGCTATATTTAAATGTATATGACTATGTTGTGATATTCTTTTCAAAATAAAGCTTATCTGGGAAATAATGGTTTTGTGAAAAATTCTTCAAGATCAATTTTCTTGATTTTCTTAACCTCTATTCTAAGTTATGTTGAAAGTAAGTGAGGAAGGAGGACAGGTAGTGGAAGGAGAGGGTACAGGACACTCTGTGCCTCTGATCTAATCTGTTTAGGTATATTTGTCAAGAAAGCAGTGGTTTGGTTTAAACTGTTTTGAAATAGGCATTAAGCCTTTAACATTAAGGGTGATACTTAATAGTGAATTCTTAGCACTGCTTTTGTCTTTTGTGGGGGAGGAGAGAGAGGATGATGGTTATCACTATTGTTTTGGTTTGAGATTTTTATTGTAACAGGTGGACATTATGATTTATGCCTACTGAGTAAATCAGTGCTATAAAATACCCTATATGATTAATGAGATGCTGGGTTGCTATAAAAATAAAAAGAAACAATGATTTCTGATTAAGATGAAGCAATTAGCCATTTGGATCTTTCCTTGTGGAAATGAGCATGTACTTTCTATTTTATGCATGATGTAGGATATTGCTTACATCTATAGTGCTATTTCAGCATGCTGTCTCTTCCCCATTGAATTGAGTATATGAGTAATTACTCAGTGTTGTTTGGAAATTGCAAGAGGAGAGAGAAAAGGGAATTTGGTGGCATGTTAGGGGAAAAATACTTCCCTTTTATTGAAAAAGCAGTGTTTTTCTTTTACTACTATTACTATTATTTAAAAAGCAATTAGCATTGTGATAACCCTGCAAAAATAACAAAGCACTTCTTTTCCAGGAATGCAGCACACTTGGACATAAAGAGTTTTTTTTCTTTTTTTTTGAGTTGGAGTTTCACTCTGTGGCCCAGGCTGGAGTGCGGTGGCACGCCCCCGGCCATGGCAGCCTCGCCTTGCTGGGCTCCAGCGATCCTTCTGCCTCAGCCTTACAAGTAGCTGGAACTACAGGCACGTGCCACCACGCCCGGCTAATTTTTTGATTTATTGTAGAGATGAAGTCTCCTTAAGTTGCCCAGACTGTTCTCAAACCCGTCAGCTCAGGCAGTCCCCGCACCCTGGCTTCCCAAATTACTGGGATTACAGGCTTGAGGCACTAAGCCCGGGTCCTGTTTTTGTTTCTTATGCACTTTAGTTTGAATTGAAATCTAAAATGTCAACCATGATTATAAATGCACATGCCCATTTGAAAGCATTACTATTATAGTATTTCTATCTTTTTATTTATTTATTTATTTACTTTTGAGTTGGAGTCTCACTCTGTCGCCCAGACTGGAGTGCAGTGGCCGCTTCCGGCCACCGCAGCCTCGACCTGCTGTGCTCCAGCGATCCTTCTGCCTCAGCCTTCCGAGTAGCCGGAATTACAGGCGTGCGCTACCACACCCAGCTGATTTTTTGATTTATTGTAGCGATGAGGGCTCGCCGAGTTGCCCAGGCGAGTCTGGAACCCGCGGGCTCAGGCAGTCCACTCACCTCAGCCTCCCAAAGCACGGGATTACAGGCTGAGCCACCGAGTCCGGCTGTATGTCTATCTCTTTATATCTGTAGCATTTTTTAAAATGAAGAGTTTGTGTATTTCCTTTAGTACAATGAAATCCGCATATTCTTACATTGGGTTTGGAGTCTTTATTTGAAGGGATATCTTTGCTCTTTAAAACAGTGTTTTGGTCTTTTTTTTTTTTTTTTTTTCCTTTTTTGAGTTGGAGCCTCACTCTGTCGCCCAGACTGCAGTGCAGTGGCCACTCCCGGCCACCGCAGCCTCGACCTGCTGGGCTCCGGCAATCCTTCCGCCTCAGCTTTCCAAGTAGCCGGAA